CATGAAAGGTTTATAAACAAGGCTACGGTTACATGAACTCAAGCAAGTGGATACCTTTACCCCTTGACAACTGAATGTACATAAAACATGAAAGGTTTATAAACAAGGCTACGGTTACATGAACTCAAGCAAGTGGATACCTTTACCCCTTGACAACTGAATGTACATAAGACATGAAAGGTTTATAAACAAGGCTCCGGTTACATGAACTCAAGCAAGTGGATACCTTTATCCCTTGACAACTAAATGTACATAAGACATGAAAGGTTTATAAACAAGGCTACGGTTACATGAACTCAAGCAAGTGGATACCTTTACCCCTTGACAACTGAATGTACATAAGACATGAAAGGTTTATAAACAAGGCTCCGGTTACATGAACAAGAACTACTCTCTGGAACTGTAGAAACAACAATAAAACCAAGTACAAGAATTACTCTGCCACTGTAGAAACAACAATAAAACGAGTACAAGTAGTAATCTCTGTAGTTTAGGGACAACAATAGAACGTACAAGAACTACTCTCTCTAGTTTAGGAACAACAATAAAAAGAGTATAAGACCTTACAGACAACTTGTACGTGATGTTAAGCTGTTAATAGGACTAACATTAATGGTACTTCATTAACCGTGTAATGTAAATGTGCTTAACTTAATTCGAGTTATTTAAACACTGTAGCTTCTTCACTAACTCGTAAAATCAGAACAACACTGATAGAGTACATGTACTCGTACATTTGGTGGTTTTCTACAGTTACGATGAGACTTTTGAAAAGTAACCTTTTCCAGAATTACTTTGTGTTTGTTTGTAGTTAAGCACAAAGCTTCACAATGGACTGTCTGTGCTCTGTCCACCACGGGTATCGAATCCCAATTTCTAGCATTGTAAGCCCTCGGGGGGGGGGCACTACTATGTGAGCTGCTTTAACGAGCGTGCTGAACAACAGGGAAACAGTATACCATCTCGATTTGAAGAAGAAAAACTATGTAGATGTGTGAATAATAGAAAAAAATTATTGAAATATAATTCACAAGATATATTAATGGTGCCTTTTTTGGTGTGTGTGTGTATGTATTACCCCAGTCTGAGACGGGGAATGGAGACATTATAACAGAAGAGAACATTTGACCAATCAGAAGGCTGGAGAAGTCAAGAAGTTACATCTCAGTGATGTGTCCAAGTTATCACGTGTAATATTATATTTAACATGTGTTATCGAGTAGGGAGGAAGTTGGCGTCAGTTGTCGATAGACTCTTCCATCTGCACGTGCACGCATGCCGATATTATACAATTATTCTGGCTCGTACTGCTATCATCCTCCGTGTGTCGCCACTGTACCAGCAAATATGTCTATCTGTTGCATTTTAGGTAATCTGCTTCTTTATTATATAAATTCACCCTTCGTGCGAAGGGCTAAGAACTGACGCACGGTGGCGACTTCCGTGATGGGAAATATCAGATCGCCCCCTGTCTCGTAAAGTTACACATTTTATTATTCGTGGTGTGCAGTGTTTGAACCAGCAAGCACCACTGTTTCTAATAAAACGCAGTATGATCACATTGTTTGTTTTTAACCAAATTGTTACCAGTGTGTTTTGTCAGTTGTTAGGCTAATGAATCTATTTTTTCAATCTCTACAACTTTAGACTGAAAAGTAGGTATTTTATTTTCATAGGTATCCACTTGCTTGAGTTCATGTAACCGTAGCCTTGTTTATAAACCTTTCATGTCTTATGTACATTCAGTTGTCAAGGGGTAAAGGTATCCACTTGCTTGTGTACTTGGTTTTATTGTCGTTTCTACAGTGGCAAAGAGTAGTTCTTGTACTCGGTTTTATTATTGTTTTTACAATATCAGAGAATAGTTCTTGTACTTGGTTTTATTGTCGTTTCTACAGTATCAGAGAGTAGTTCGTGTACTTGGTGTTATTGTTGTTTCTACAGTGGCAGAAAGTAGTTCTTGTACTTGGTTTTATTGTTGCTTCTACAGTTCCAGAGAGTAGTTCTTGTACTTGGTTTTATTGTTATTCCTACAGTTCCAGAGTAGTTCTTGTACTTGGTCTTATTGTTGCTTCTACAGTTACAGAGATTAGTTCTTGTACTTGGTTTTATTGTCGTTTCTACAGTATCAGAGAGTAGTTCTTGTACTTGGTTTTATTGTCGTTTCTACAGTTCCAGAGAGTAGTTCTTGTACTTGGTTTTATTAAAACCGAGTACAAGAACTACTCTCTGCCACTGTAGAAACAACAATAACACCAAGTACACGAACTACTCTCTGATACTGTAGAAACGACAATAAAACCAAGTACAAGAACTATTCTCTGGCTCTGAGGAATAACAATAAAACCAAATACAAGAACTACTCTCTGGAACTGTAGAAACAAGAATAAAACCAAGGACAAGAACTATTATCTGATACTGTAGAAACAACAATAACACCAAGTACAAGAATTACTCTGGTACTGTAGAACCAACAATAACACCAAGTACAAGAATTACTCTGGTACTGTAGAAACAACTATAATACCAAGTACAAGAACTACTCTCTGGTACTGTAGAAACAACTATAATACCAAGTACAAGAACTACTCTCTGGAACTGTAGAAACGACATTATTGTTTCTACAGTGGCAGAGAGTAGTTCAAGAACTACTCTCTGCCACTGTAGAAGCAACAATAAAACCAAGTACAAGAACTACTCTGGAACTGTAGAACCGACAATAAAACCAAGTACAAGAACTACTCTGGAACTGTAGAACCGACAATAAAACCAAGTAAAGAACTACTCTCTGATACTGTAGAAGCAACAATAAAACCAAATACAAGAACTACTCTCTGGAACTATAGAACCGACAATAAAACCAAGTACAAGAACTACTCTCTGGCACTGTAGAAACAACAACAACACCAAGTACAAGAACTACTCTCTGGAACTGTAGAATCAATAATAAAACCGAGTACAAGAACTACTCTCTGGCACTGTAGAAACAACAACAACACCAAGTACAAGAACTACTCTCTGGAACTGTAGAATCAATAATAAAACCGAGTACAAGGGCAGAGAACAGTTCGTGTACTTGGTGTTATTGTTGTTTCTACAGTTCCAGAGAATAGTTCTTGTACTTGGTGTTATTGTCGTTTCTACAGTATCAGAGAATAGTTCTTGTACTTGGTTTTATTGTTGTTTCTACAGTGGCAGATAGTAGTTCGTGTACTTGGTTTTATTGTTGTTTCTACAGTTCCAGAGAGTAGTTCTTGTACTTGGTGTTATTGTCGTTCCTACAGTGCCAGAGAGTAGTTCTTGTACTTGGTTTTATTGTTGTTTCTACAGTGGCAGAGAACAGTTCTTGTACTTGGTGTTATTGTTGTTTCTACAGTGCCAGAGAGTAGTTCTTGTACTTGGTTTTATTGTTGTTTCTACAGTGGCAGATAGTAGTTCTTGTACTTGGTGTTATTGTTGTTTCTACAGTGCCAGAGAGTAGTTCTTGTACTTGGTTTTATTGTTGTTTCTACAGTGGCAGATAGTAGTTCTTGTAC